AAGCTCAGTCAATGATATTCAAGAACAAACTACGGAGAGATCAGGTATTCATTTTAGTGTGATGTTTAGCAAATATTCAACTGCTTTGACCCTTTAGGAAATCCAACTTAGTGTACGCAATGAACATGGCATTTTCAATATTCCTGCTCAAACAGGAGTTATTGAAGGCCGTCGTGCTGCACTAAATCTTTCTCGTGAAATTAATCACTCCAACAATGAAATCGTAGGGAAGATCATATCCAAAGGAAGAGATAGACTTACAAAAGCTGAAGAAAAAAGGGATGAAGCTGTGTTGAAGATACTACAGGGTCAACAGAATTTTGGAATGTTTGACAATCCATGGGTTACAAACTTTTGGGACCCACCCAATGGAGTCATGGCCTGGCCTAATTCACATTCTCGGAGGCATTCCAAGCCTATCACTGTACCAGATAAACCAGATCGCATTCTCAACACATCTCAAGTTTTGGCTATTCAGAAAATGCTCTCATTCAGGAGTGAAGAAAATATTGTCCTGATTAGAGGCCCGCCTGGAAGTGGAAAAACATCGTAAGTTTGAGACCACAAATATAGTTTTCTATTGTTTCAATATTGGTCAGTGTTATTTCTAGATTTGTGGAAATTGCTACAGCCAGTCAACATTATCCTGGGATTTGGCTGGTTGCTCAGTCAAATATAGCTGTAAAAAACATAGCTGAAAAGCTAGCTTCAGCTGGCTATATGGATTGGAAGCTCCTTGTATCGAAAGATTTCATATTTGACTGGTATTCAATTTTCTTTTTTTGGGGGGCGATCTAACATAAGCTGCTTAGGCATGAACATTTATATGGTCCCGCTTTTGAAAACAACCTTTTGTACTCGGACAAATTCTTCCAATTATCACAAACAAAATTGAGGTCAATATTAACTGGCTGCAAGGTCATACTATGCACACTCAGTATGCTCTCAAACACCCATATCTCTAAATTCACACCAATCATCCCAATTCATACGCTCGTTGTTGATGAAGCTAGTCAAATTGAAATTGGTAATTACTTACCAGTCTTCACATTTGTTGGAAAGAGGCTGGAGAAATTATGCTTGATAGGGGATGATAAACAATGTGAGTAAATCAATTAATCTTTTTTTTTCATTATATTTGATTTGCATCAGTGCCACCATATGGTCAGGAAGAGATTCAAGACCTACAGAGTGTTTTTGAACTTGAACATCTACATGATCATATTTATTTGCTGGATACACAATGTAAGAATTTATTTCTCTTTACTGAGCCAGGAGATTAATCTTTGGAATTTCAAGATCGTATGCCACCCCAGATGGGAGATTTCATCTCCAGTGCAGTATATGATGGAGCTTTGCATTCAAATCCAAACCATATCATCAATGATAAGACTATTGCCTGTCAATTCATTGATATACCTGGGGTTGAAACAACCAAGGGGGATTCATATGTAGTAAGTTGTTTTGATCTTTGTTCCTGACTGCTATTGCCATTTGACTTTTGGGCCATTAGAACACTGCAGAAGCTTCAGCAGTGATAAAGCTTGCAGAGTTTCTTGAAGGTACTGGAAAGAGTTATAGAATAGTCACCCCTTATGATTCCCAGAGGAATCACATTGAGGAGCTCATGAGAGAGAATGAGGGTGTGAGCTGGGAGGATAAATGTTTCAATGTTGATTCATTCCAAGGTTTTTCAGAATTTCTACTTTCTTTAATGGTATTCCCTCTTTCTGAACTGATTTGTTGAATTGTAATTTTTTCAGGGAATGAAGAGGATTACATAGTAATCTCCATTGTCAGGTCTTATAAACCTGGATTTTTGAAGAATCTCCGCAGGACCAATGTTATGCTTACTCGCTTCAAGAGAGGCATGTTCATTGTGACTAGCAGGAAGTTTATCAATGGGCCTGGTGCAGGAACACTTGTGGCTCAGCTGGCTGGATATTATGAGAAGAGAGTAGGAGATGCAGCATGGTTAAAGGTAGAGGAAATTGGGAAGGAGAAAAGATCTTGAACTAATTTTTCATAAACTTGAAGTTTTGAATCTGAATGATTTTTCATTTGATAATATACAGTGACAGCCATATTTAATGTACACCAGATATTTTCTGCTGATGTACATCAAATATGGCTGTCACTTCTATTTTGCTTGTTTCCGCAATTTCATGAAGGGTTCTATTTTACTATGTAAGATATCAAAGTCTACTCATAGTAAGCTCTTCATGAGCTATGCCATTTTGAGCATTTGGGACTTGCAAGATGACATCCCTCATCTCTGTCAAAGCACAATAAATAGCACTCTTGAAAACCTCTGTGGAGGTTTCACCACCAGAGAATTTTGTTTCAATGCCAAACTTCACCATGGAAGGTGCGGCAAGATCTATGGTGAAGAGAATATCAGTCATCAGGTTCATACAAGGAAATTCAAACTTAACACATACAGTTAATACCATATCCATTTTCATAGCCTGTTCCAAATCTACATTCATAGTTGGGATCAATAGTGATTCAACAAGATGAAGAGAAGAATTAAATGATTTACCCAGTCCCGCGAAAATGATGTCCGGCGCTTAACCCACTTGTACTAAGACGCCATTCCTGGCTCTTCATAAAAAGAGCATCATCGAATAGTTCACTTTTTTCTCCCTGTCGAAGCATACTTTGTAAACCCAGGAGATGTCGGTCGATCCCTCGTCCGGTAGCGGCGTCGCGCGTAAGAGAGGTGTGCTTCCGAATAGCGCGTCGAAGGAGATGGTACTTGACTTCGTCCTGGAAATCAACAGTGTAAATAAACATCGCGATGTGATGTGAAGTGAAGTGAATGAGCAAGGGGAAGCTTACCGAATTCGCGCTGATATTGTCAGTCATGGCAAGAACAAACGCTCGGCTTTCGACGGACAACGTTCTGATAGTTTCGGTGCGGCCCTTGTTGAACATCCTCGTTAACGCGGTTTCGTACGTAGCGGTGAAATTTCCAGTCGTGCGATACCAAGCGATTTGCATGGCCATTTGGATGTACGCATCGGAACTAAAGCCTGTGAGAATGATTTCAGATGCATTCGTTTACGGGGTGGAGCCAAAATGGGGGGAACATACCAGCGCTCTTGATCCAGTCAGAGCCATACTCTTCGAACCACAATAAGCTATCGTCTGAATTCTTGATATTAGTTTCCGCTCGTTCACGCGCTGCGCGGGTAGCTTTTAACACGTCTTCATCGACAACCCAATCCAATCGACTCCATCCTTCATCAATTGCATTCGTAGACGTAGACAACGATGATGATACGTTCATCTCCACATGCTGAACCACGGCGTACTCGGCGACAATACTCGGAACTAGGGCATCACAAGGTGAATGTTCCCCTGTTGCTCCAGCTCGACCGGAAGGGTCGACGATGATGGAAAAAGGTTTGTCGAAGAATCGGTTAGAGACGTTTAAAGGAACTGAACGGATGGCGTGCAGATGTGAGTCGAGAGTGCTCTGGGAGATAGTGGAAGGCTGGGGAAGTGAAGACGATGAGGAAGGTGAAGGAGATGTATGTGTCTCGTTGTCGAGGCAGAGACACATAAGTGATTTTACGATCGCTTCATGGGTCTTTATGTTTTGAGGAGAGATCGATAGAAGGTGTTGGAGGTTCTGGAAAAACGCGTCAACTATTTAGTCGTAAAGAAGATAAATCAGAAAGAAAAAAAAAACACTCACAAGCGCCCATGAATCTCTATCATCAGCAGAAAGTACTCCAATCTGAGGTGCGCACTCTGTCCGAGTAGTAGCATCGTTGACAATGGCGTTCAAGCGCAACTGCAATATTTTCGTATCGATCAACTTGAGGGTCGAGTGGTCTCGATCAATGTCATATACGCATAGGGTATAGAACCAGTCGTTCACGATCACAACGACATTGCGAGAAAGAGGATCAGAAGGAGACGAGGTTTGGGATAAGACGTCGCAGTTGAGCTTTGGGATTCGAGCGAGATTGAACATTCTGGAAACGCTCTCTTGGATCCAGACGCCTTACGACCCACCACATTGTTATTATATCTAGTGCAGAGAATTTGGAAACGGTGACAAACCTGTACGCGTCGTCACTGGATGGAGTTCTTGCCTGAAGGAAAATTAAGTATCATAACAAGATCATCAGTCCCGTGGTACATACATTTCAACTTTATCTTTAAGCTCTAGCGTCCGATGAACAAGCCAAGCCGCTCTTTGAATTTGCCATTTCGTGAATCCAGACGTACGGTGTGTTTGAGAGGGATGAAGTGGATCATCGTTGAATACAAGCCACCAATTAGAATTGATGAGAAGAGGAACCCGCCATTGTAAATAACTCTTCAACCAAAAGTTATCATCTAACCAGTTATCTGGTGAGTTCCTATCGAGTTCTATTCGAGAGTAGTAGCGGAGGGTTGAGTTACGAAGGCATGATTCAGGACAACCACTAAAACCGACCATGTAGACGTTCTTGACAAACTCGTCCAACCCCATTAACAAACTCATCTGCCCATTTAGTGCGTAGGGCGAACGCATTTTCGTACGAGTCACCTCCTCGTACATCGTCCTCTAGAAAAAAAGGCCGCAGAGAATCGAGGTATTTAGTGATAGTCTTGTGTAAATCCGGAACAGGCAGACGAGGGAGAACAGCAGCGGTATTGTGATTCATTCGGTTGAGTCGTCGTAGTCGGGAAGAGAAGGGAGTGGGGTTTAATAGGGTTTTAAGCATCGTTGTGGCCCATTTTTGTATGAAGATGTAAAGAAGATTATATACTTGTAGTCTGAACGGGTGCGAATCCGTTTTGTTACGAGCCCATAATTTCGTATTAAGCGCCGAATAGCATAATATAAGCGCTGGACGGCGTTGTATCGGGGAAACATGAATGTCTGTCTAGAGCAAGTCAAAAAGACAAACCGGATGATGGATGGACACACTCAAAGAAAAAAACCTTTGAGAAATACACATAAGTCTTGGACATAGAGTACATAAAATAAATAAAATAAACTCCCTGGCTGGGAGTCGAACCCAGCTTTCGCGCGACACGATTTATCTTCACGCACAATTGATGACAGGCGCGTGTACTAACCGATATACTACCAGGGATATATTAGAATCCCGCGAGGTGCTGTATAATATAATAAAATACCCCAATGCACCAATGAACTAGATTCAAAGCCGTGGTGCAACCCCTTGAACCGAGATGGGGATGGGGATGAGGATGTAGAGATGTAGATGTAGATGTGAACGAACGAACTTGATCGAAGGTCAACAAGGAAACGATTATTCATATATCGTAAAACGAGTGTGCGTTATGAGATTACGAGATACTGAGGTGAGGAACGAATGAGATAAAATGGAAGAAAGAATGGAAGAACGAAAGAACGAGAAAATCATGCATGGGATGTTGATGTGGATTGGAAAGAGTAAAAACAAAAAGAAAGAAAAGAAAAAAGTCCAAACAAACGAACGAACGACAGAAGGCGATGAACAAAATGCTAAAAAAAAAAAAAAGAAAAAAGAGCCCTGTAAAGCTCGGTATTTATGGTATTTATGGTATTTCTGAGTATGTGGTATGGACCAATAACTCGAACACGAAAAGTAATTTTTTTTCTCCCCAAGTCCTTGACACGAGCGGATAACCATAACCATAACCCTAACCCCCTGTCCGCTATCTCCTATCTCCTATGTCCTATCTCCTAAACCCTCCCCCTTTCCTACCTGCATTAACATCAACCAAGAACATTCCCATCCCTCGCAAGCGGTGATCCCTTCCTCATAGGTGAACCCCCATTCCCACTATTCCCATTCCCATGCCCATTACCACCATTTCCTCTCCCTCCTCCTCCTCCTCCTCCTGAACTTACACCTACACCCAACCCACCAGGAGGCAACAACGAATTCGAATTCGATCCCGAGCCAGCTCCAAACCCAGACCCAAACCCACCTCCAGACCCAGACCCAGCTCCACCTCCAAACTCAACAGGACTACCACCCCCACCAGGAGGAGTATGACTCAACGCCGGTGAAAACCTAGCATCAAACTGAGACGTCGGTGTTCCTCCAGTCATGGTCATACCCATTGCAGGGTTACCAGGTGAGATGGAACTCATCATTGACATTCTTGGATCAAACGTTCCGGACCCAGTACCAATACCAACTCCTGACCCGGTACCAGTACCAGCACCAGACATCATCGGAGCCCCTCCCCCTCCCCCTCCAACCCCCAAACTCTTATTCCCACTCTCCTCCCCCACCTGCGAACCCGCAACCGAAAAAGCCATCATAGCCTGTTGATAAGCCTGCGCAGCTTGTTGAGCAGCAAACATATGTTGTTGTGCGTTCATTCCTCCACCACCACCACCTCCTCCCATACCCATCATCATCGGATTCATCCCCGTCGTACCAGTCATCATCGGATTCATCCCAGTCTGACCAGTCATCATAGGCGATAACCCACCTCCAGTCATCATCGGCGTCAAGCCACCCCCCATCATCATTGGGTTCATGTTCATTCCATACATCGACATCATCGGGTTCATGTTCATGTTCATCCCATACATCCCCATTGGATTCCCCATTCCTCCTCCACCACCGTACATCCCCATCGGGTTTCCCATCCCATACATCCCCATCCCTGCTCCTCCTCCTCCTACCCCACCTCCCATTCCTCCCATACCTCCCATACCTCCCATTCCCTCCATCTGCATCTGCATCCTCTGCTGCTCATCCCACCTCCTCTGCCTCTCCTCCACAACCCTCCTCTCCCTCTCCCTCTCCGTCAACGCAGCACCTACCCCTCCCTCCCTCTTCCTCTCCCTCTCATACCCCGCAACAGCTCCAAGCAAGCCAGTCTGCGGAGGAGGCGGTTTATTCGGCACGTTGATCAACGACGCACCACTCTCCCTCGCCAACTCTTCTTGACGTTTCGCTGAGCGGTCTTGCCGGTCAGAGAGACCGGCGGAGAGGAGACCTTGAGGAGTGAACGCTTTGGTTAGGTGCGTTGAGGGTGGGTCGAGTTGGATAAACAGGTCGTTGTTTGATGAACCTCCTCCGCCTTTAGCTGTTGAAGCTGGGTTGGAATTAAACGGGATTGGAGTAGGTGCGATGGGGTTTGTGAGTGAATGAGATAGTTCAGGGATAGAACCTGGTGTTCGGTTTGGGTCAAGAACTTGGGACCACATACTTTGTCGAGGAGCGTTATATTGAGGTCGTTGAACTTGCTGGTCTTCCCATCGTCCTTCACCATCTCCTAATCGTATAATCAGTACCTATAACCCAATAACAAACTCACACACACCACATACCTCGTGCTGGAATCTGTGGTAACGTTCTCGGCGGTCTCGACTGTGAAAGTCCCATATGACTCTTTGGCTCCTCATCTGAATCAACCTCTCTCTCCTCTCCCTCTTCTTCCTCTTCCTCCTCCTCCTCTTCTTCTTCTTCCTCCTCCTCCTCATCACTACTCCAACTCCCCGGTTTCACAGCTCTCATCTTCCTCATCCCACCACCAACACCTCCAACTCTCGGACCAGGTCTATGGATCGCAGCAGCCTGTGCAGCCTGTGCCGCCTCCGCTCTCGCCTTCCTCTCCGCCGCCGACTTTGATGGGGCAAAAGAAGATTTGAACTGTGGTTGCGTTCCAACGTTAGAGTTGGTGTTGGTGTTAGCGTTGGTATTGGTGTTTTTCGCATTCAATTCATCACCATCACCATCATCATCATCACCAACATCCCTCGAAGACGACATCTTCTTCTTCTTCTCTCTCCCATCCTTCGACGGTTCCGAACGAACAACCTGTTCTTCCACAGGATCATTCACGTCCAAATACGATAATACAGCAAACACGTCGTCGTCGGATTGCATTGTTTTTAGGTCGGCGTTGGTGTTGACGTTGGGGTTGGTGCTGGGGTCGGCGTTGTCCGTATTATTCAACGTATCCGCACTATACTCGCTCGGCGTCGACACAGACTGTTGTCTCACCGCTTGACCTGGAAGTGTCCTCTCTCGCTCAACAGCGTTAAAATCGTTCAACCTATCTTCTAATAGTCCCTGTCCCTGTTCCTGTTCTTCTTCTTCTTCTTCTTCTTGTTCTAATTCTTCTTCTAACCCTCCAAGTCCTCGACCTCTTTCTCCAGGCGCTAAGAAATCCAACAAAAAAAAAAACCACGTATGAGAGTCGAGCACGAAAGGAAAAAGAAGAAAAGAACCCTTGGCTTTGACTTACCTAGTATCCCTAACCCCAACCCTAACCCACCTTCGATGTGGGAAGAAGAATTTGAATTCGAATTCGAATGGGAATTCGAATGGGAATTGGAATTGGAATGGGAATTAGGATTGGAAGTCACGTGTACGTGTGCCGCTGCGTGTGTGAAACGCGGAGCCGCCTGAGGCGCACGTGCACCGGATGGTTTACGGCTCAAGCCTAAGCCTAAACCTGAACTGCGGTCTGGGGCGTTTTGGGCTATTGGGATTGGGACGATTGGGGAGGAAGGGGGAGGGGAAGAGGGGGAGGGAGAGAAGGAGGGGGAACAAGCAGGAGGAGGGGGAAGAGGTGCAGGTGCAGGTGCAGGAGGAGCACGGGAAGGAGGAGGAGGGGAATGTAAAGTAGAGTGTTCCATAAACGCCATCGGTGTTCCTTTTCTCGTCATCCCAGGGGGAGTAGTAGGAATTTGAATTTGGTTTTGTGTGATATGTGTGCTGTGTGTGCTTTGTGGGCTGTTAACCACAGCAAGCTCGAATCTGCTCCTTAAATCCTCTGCGCTGCTCGTACTTGTACTCGTACCAGTGTTGGATCTAAATCCTTGGTAATCACTGTTTGGATGGTGTTGGTGTTGTTGTTGTTGTTGTTGTTGTTGGTGGTGATGTAGCTGGTGGTCGTTATCCTCTCCTTCCCCTTCCCTTTCCCCTTCCTCATCATCATCATCAACTCCAAACCTCGGTGAAGACAACGGAGCGAACGAGTTCATCGGCGAATACGGACTAGTCAATATCGATGATTTATCCACTTTATCCACTTCTCTCGATGATGATACTGGAGGTTTAACAGGCGTACCCCCCGTACTCGTACTCGTACCCGGCATACCCCTCCTCTGACTCTCCCAATGATCCAAATCAACAGAATGCGGCGACGTAAGTATCGACGCGGGTGAATGGGATCTATTCATTGCGTTTGGAATTGGGGGTTGTCGAGGGGAATGAGGGGGTGGAGGTGAAGGGGAATAAGGAGAAGAATGAGAATAAGGAGAAGGGGGAGGAGAGGAAGAAGAAGAAGAGGAAATAGCAGTTGTCGTGGCAGTAGCAGTTGCAGTGGCAGTTGCAGTATCCCCCACTTTCCCAAACTTCGTACTCGAATCACCTCCACTCCCTTTCCCAAACAACCCCAAACGAAGATCCAGGTCCTTTTCTGGAACTTTTGGTGACGTCCCTTCCCTTTCCCCTCCTCCTTCCCTTTCTCTTTCCCCTCTTCCTCCTCCTTGTTCTTCCATCGGCGTCGTCCCCCCCTCACTCTCCTCAACCACAGGCGACGGTCCCATAAACCCAAACCCCGAATTCCTCTTCCCTCCCCCTCCCACGCCTGCTCCGCCTCCGCCTAAACTCCCCAACGTCCCAGACCTCTCCAAACCCATATACGAATTCGAATTCGTATACACCGAACTTCGTTCCGTTATCGGCGTCAATAATTGTTTTTCGATAGGAGTATATGTTGATGTTGATGTGGATGTGGATTCGGATGTTGGTGTTGACGTGGGGTTATCAGAATCGAATGAGAGAGGGGGGAGTTGTGGGAGGGCGTTGGATTTGGAGTTGGAGTTGGATTGGGAGTTGGATTGGGAGTTGAATTGGGATTGGGATTGGGATTGGGAGTTGGTAGAAGAAGTTGAACTAGTAGGTCTCCCATTCCCATTTCCATTCCCATTCCCATTTCCAATCATAATCCCATTCCCATTCCCATTCATATTCATCTCACCCATCCTTTCCTCCAATAACCCTATCAACCTCGACCTAATCGACGAAGTCCTATCGTCTCTTGGATCCAAAGCCTCCGCGTGTTCACGGTCGAGGAATAATAACTACCGTTTAATGTGGAATGTGGAATGTCAGCGATAATTCCTCATGATTCCTCAATAAAAACAAAAACGAAACCAAAAAAAGAACGAAAACAAAAAGCCAAAAAAGAAAGAAAACAAAAAACAAAAAAAAAACACTAACATCTTTCGCAGGACCAACCGGATACCCAAACATCAACCCTTTCGGATCTCTCGGATCCCAATTCCACGCTTCAGGTCTTCCGTATAACCTAAACGCATCGTGGAATGCTATTACCCATTTTAACATTTCCCCTGCTTGACTTAATCCTCCCCCTGCCCTTCCCCCTCCACCTACTCCCCCTCCCCCTCCCCCTCCTTGTCCCCCTTGATCATCCTTCCCCGTCAACTGAGGCATAACCAAAACCCATCCTTCTCTCCCTCTCATACTCCCCGCGCCTTCTTCATGTCCGAACAAAGCTTCGAGTTTGATCAACGTGGAACGAGTGATGAGTTCTGGTCGTTCGGGGTATACTGCGAATGCCTGTTGAAAAAAACAAAACAAACAAATAAATCGATAAATGAATGAATAAATTTATGGTTGTTATGATGATTGAAACACACCTGAGAAACACCAGTCAACGTCAAGAACGGTTTCTTCCTATCTTTCGGTTTCGGTGAGAGGTAGATCAACACTATCGGTCCTTCTCCTTTCGCGCTATTCCGTCTACCTTTCTCTTTCTCTTTATCCTTCTCTTTCTCTTTCTCTCTCTCTTTATCTTTCTCTTTCTCTTTATCCTTTTCTTTACCATGTTCTTTATCCTTATCCTTGTCTTTACCATGACTATCACTCTCCCTATAAAACAACGCAGACATTCGTTTCTTCCTAAACCCTGTGATCGTCGAACCCGCAGATGAAGGTGGGGATGTTGGATTGTGGGAGTTGTGGGAGTTGATCCTTCCTAGGTTTTCTAACGATAATATCAATAATATCAGTCAAACATAAACCCAAAATAAAATAAAATAAAATAAAATAAAATAAAATAGAAATAGAATTTAATAAAACACATACCATTCGACTCGACAACAACCATCCAAACAAGTTTCCAATCCGTCTGACCCGCAATCCTTATCCTCACCCATCCCTCCAACCTCCCTCTCACAAGCGTACTCGGTATATCCCTCGCTACAAAAAGAAAAACCAAAATCAGCTCCAACTCCACCTCCTCCTCCACCTCCACCTCCAACTCCTGCACGTTAACCACCAAAACAAAACAAACCCCACTCACCACTAATCGTAATCCTACACAAATGAGCCGTATATATCTCTTCCAACCTACTCTTCTCCCACGCACTCAACCTCATCGCAGCTGCCCAGCTGATGAGACTCTGAGTATTCGGACACGCGAATAATATTAAATTCGATCCGGCGGTGTTTAGGGTTAGGACGTTGGTGTACTTCCGTGCACCTGTACCTGCAGATGATTTACCTTGTCCTTGTCCTTGTCCCCGTCCTTGTTGTCCTTGTCCTTGTGGTTGTTGCGCAGGTATAGTAACAGACCCAAGAACCTGTACGAACCCATCCGTTATATTCACATACGAAGGCGGTACCTCCCTTCCCTCCTTCGACGCCTCCTCAATCTCCCTCATCCCCCACACACTCAACGTCGTCCCCCCGAGTTGGGCCCAGACTTGTTCCCAGGCGTTGTCAGGGGTGGGGTTGGATGAGCCGGGGTTGGGGTGAGTTGGAGGTTGAGTTGAAGGATGAGTTTGAGTTGCATGGTGGGTTTGAGTTGGATGGTGCGGTTTCGAACCATTCGGCTCACGCTCTATTCGACGAAGGAGGGGACCAGAGAAGTAGATTTTATGTGCGTGAGCGACGGTGAGGGAGACTATGGACCGAATCTCTGGGTGGAGAGGGGGTGGTGGAGGTGGTGCAGGGGGTGGTGCGTGCGTGATGGGCGTTGTTGGGCTTGGGTTTGATTCTGGTGGTACCGGTACCGCTCCCGGTCCTACTCCTCCTCCTACTCCTCCTCCTACTCCTCCTCCTACTCCTCCTGGTACCGCTCCCGCTCCTACCCCCGCTCCTCCTCCCACTCCCGCTCCCGAATTCGAATTCGGCTGTCCCTGTCGTTGGAACGACGACTCCGAATTCTGCTGTTTATGCCTCCCGAATGAAAAAAACGATGAAGTCCTAGAGTGGCCTGTAGGTTGTGTGTTGTTCTCTCCACTCCCTAACCCATTCCTACCCCCACTCTCTAACCCATTCCCCCTCTCATTCCTACTCCCATTTCCATTTCCATTTCCATTACCTATAGTCCTAGGATACGCTTGATCCGACGAAGGCGCAATCGACATTGTTTTTTCCCCTCCTCCAATTCCCACTCCAATTCCAATTCCAACTTCTCCTACAGCACCAGATTCCCTCGGCCTCAACGTAAAATTATGCGTAGGCGTCGTCGCTCGAAACTCTTCGAGCTTTGTGGGTGAGATGAAACTTTGTCGACGGGATTCCCACTTTGTGCATGCGTTTGGGGTTGGGGTCTGGATTGGATTTGGGCCTTGGTTTTGTGTTGGGTTTGAGCTTTGGTTTTGTGCTGTACCCGTGCTTTGGCTCTGGCTTCGTGTTGTACTTTGTCTCGAACCAGGCGTTGGGTTATACATTCACCCTGTTCACCCTGTGATCCTGTTTACCAAATACCAATCACCAATTCCAATTCCAATACGAATCTCCCAATTCCAATTCCAATCACAATCTACAATGGATGTAGATGTAGATGTAGATGTTGTGGATGTTGTTGAAGTTGTTGAAGTTGATGATGATGTAGATGATGTTGTTATTGACGTGAATTAAAACCGCCAATGTCGTCCGTGTTCAATGTTGTGCCCCCGTGGAATTATTTGTTTGTTATCTTCGTCTTAAGCGCGCGCTTGCGCTTATACCTTACTTATACCTCTAGAGACTAGACCTCTAGACCCCCCTCCTCGCATTGAGAATTCAATAAAAATCTCCGTTCGACGGGTTACGTACGGTCTAGGAGTACACCGCCCAGCGCCCAACGCCCAACGTCCACCGCCCAACAGCTCCATTAAGCTCCATAATAAAGCATATGTAATCAGCTCCGAGTCTGCTATCCCTAGATCAACATCATCGATATCTATCAACCTATCCGCTGATCATCCGATACGAAGTTCGAATCCGAACTTTCATCACCATCACTTTCATCATCATCATTAACGGAGTACGGAGTACGGAAGTTCAGTACGGAGATCAGTACGACAAGAATTCATCGTAACCCCCCCTTCTCTCTCCCTTCTTCTTCTCTCATCTCATCCCGTCTCATATCATCTCATATATAATTAACGCACCACCACTTACACATCCCTGGTAGTATATCGGTTAGTACACGCGCCTGTCATGAAGTGCTGGGTATACCTCATCGTCTCGCGCGAAAGCTGGGTTCGACTCCCAGCCAGGGAGATATATTATTATTATTTCACCGAGACTCCGCAGAGGCTTTATGTATTTTTTGTTTTTACTTAACCAAGACCAAGACCAAAGGGTGTTGTTATGTTGAACTTTCAACTTTACTCACTCACTCAACTCAACTCAACTCACTCGCTCAACTCAACTCAACTCAACTCAACTCACCCTTGTCGGTGTTACTTGCTCCCCCATTACATACATACTGTTATTGGCCGCAAGCGGTAAGCAGTAAGCAGCTAGTACTTACTACCTTCTCTAGTGACTTGGGTTCACTCAGCTCAAATGACCATTCGGATTCTTACAAGTTCTTGATCTGTGATCTTCATCTCATATGTATTATGACAACGCAAAATATTTGTGCAATCCCTGTTAGGGTGTAAATGTCATGTACTACACGACAACACCCAGCAAGTTGGTAGGATGGTACTACGGAACACTGTACATTGCAGGAACAGTGTGATGTAATCGTACAATATGGTATGAAAGAAGTGAGGTAAGTGTAAGTGTAAAAGGAGAGAGAGAAGACGAAGGGTAAGTAGTACAGTGCCGAGCCTTATGTAGTTTCAGGAGCCGGGAAGCCGGGTGTAAGCACAGAGAGCGCTTACACAGGGCTGGTCTTGCACAACCTACTGAGCCTTTCCCTTCTTCTTTTCAATCTCATCTTCTTCCTTCACATGAAGCGATAAATAGCCAACCATACATGCCTCCCACTGCAAATCAAACCAATTTTCCTATAAAAATTTGATCATGGATTATGTGATATTTCAGATCCGAACTGAGAACTTACAACTTGTTGTTCTGTCACGTCTCTATCCACTTTGAGAATCCCTGGATAACCGAAGCCCAGAATGTGGACTTGAGTGATAGGAAGATTGAGAGAGATGCCTGCGGCTGTCTCCGTTCCACCAAAGAGGAGATTGTCAACATGGAAATCACTGTATACAGAACGAGGGGGGGTTGTCGGTAAACCAGTCTGAGGAAAAATATTCACATACACATGAAGAAGCCCTTTTGTGACAGCCCAATCAACGACCTGCTTTCGGATTATCGGTTTTGCGGAGGCAATCATCTTGTTTTTTTCCTTGCTTAACGCATTCTTGTATTGTATGGTGTCCTTTATTGGTAGTAGTACTCCATCCGATTTCTTCATGATTATGACCGCAGCTTCTTTTCCATCACGTCGAACGGGAGCTATCCCCGAGTCGATATATAGACCAACAGCTTTGAGGGCTTTGACTTCGCCGAACTCTTTATCACGTCTGTCTTGATCATCTCCTGGTTTCTTTAATATTTTCACGAAAACCTCGTCTTTTTTGTAGCCTTTATAATCCTTCTTCAGCTTGGCCACGATGTCATCGTAATCACCGAGACCGCCTTCTATTGGGTCACCAATGTCTTGTGTGTCCAAGTCTAGAATTCTGGCTATGTGTATACAATCAGGACCATAGCGAACAAACGGAAATGACATCCGCTCACTAAATGTTGTCCGATCTTTCTCATCTAGGTACGCGTCATAAAAATTTAGAATCCAAGGAGGCTTGTAATATGAGATTGTGATGTGTTAATATGGTACAATCGCTCACATTGCGCTCTTTTGTAGGACCAAGCATGTAGTCCTTCATTCTTTCATCGTATGTCGGTGACAGCGGCGCTGCATGGGTGATCGCTGCAAGTAAAATCGAGACAAAAAGGAGAAGCCTGAAGAGACTAGAAGAGGTTGAGGTACACATTGCAGAAGAAGGAGACGGCGATGAATGGAAGTGTGGAGGAGTATTGATGAGTACAAACAAGATTTTGCTCTGACCCGCAGAGGAAGTTAAGAAGAGGATCGACCGGACGTTGCATGCCTTTTTGACTTGCAGAAGGTGGAACAGGTCACCTTAGGCGAAGTAGGGCCATCAAGCCTGATATGATATCTCATATACAATCATCGAAGGTACCGCTGGTGTCCCCATCCTGGTTCAAGGGCAGGGCGACAAAAAGACTATCTCACCAAAAAAACCTGAGGCCAAACTAGGTATAATTGTAGTAGTGATGGTTCTACAAGCATAGCAATGCATAGCAATGCGCTCTTTTCTTTCATGTCCTCTCAACGTAGTCCCGATTTCTATATCGCGTCGCCAAATACACTCTCTGACTAGCTTCCGCCGTCAAGGGTGCACCATATGACTATACCGTCGGAGCGTCTTGAGCTCCTTCTGACGGATGCTCTTGGTCGAGTCGAATGTATAATTTTTGGTCTAGATTTGTACAGCCGTTACATGAGCATCGCATGCGATTCCTCACCTTTCCTCACTTACCGCTTCTGGTACTATACGTTGGAAATCCGCATGGGTGAGGCTCAATAGGCGCGCAGCGTCGTTCTTGTACAATGTATTTACCGAGAAAATACGCAGCCCTTTACTTTCACCTGGAGTCTTTGATGATTGACTGGATTTCATCATGTTCACGAAGATTTCTTTCCAGCGTACTTGGGAGCGAAGGACTTTCAGAGGATTGCAGAGATTGATACGGACCTTTGATACGAGTTTACCATGAAAGTTTTCGAATATTACAGCTTACCCGGAGGCAGAGATCTTTAATTTGGGTGTGTTTGACCTTTGACAAGGAATGTTGATTGATGGGAAAGCATACGTTTCTTACAAGAGCGAAATGGTGTTGCGAAAGACCAACGACATCCAGTGTAGGGAGTAATGGTGGTCTGCATGCACACAGAACTCTTGCCATTAGCAACAGGACAAGCGATTTCCAAAAAACCATTACTTACATTGCTTCTTGTATTCGCATCAGACGTGGTCATTCTCACACTAACAAAACTTGTACTCCCAGTCGAAGTGGTGAGATGAAAGAGTGGCCGTCTGTACAAGATGTCGATCTTCTTCAACAAAGCTCCAAGGCTGCATCAAAGAGTGATATTGGACGCTCATTGAGTGAAGTAGAGGGATCCACGCAGGATTAATTTGAATGTTCTTCTTCGTCTAACTCGAGTTCGCCGAGGTCATCTTTTGATATGTTGGTAGACAAAAGAGATAGCGCAACCAAGAGAGGTAACAATCCTAGCAAATGGTATGACAGCGCCACTCTTGAGCTTTCGAAAAATCCGGAGTAGCTGGCTGTGCTGGGGGTCTGTGGGTTTGCCATATGAACATGAGTGAGTTCCCTTCGGATAAATACCAGACGAATTTTTGAGCGATGTTTGCCCAAGAATTTCATTTTGTTGAATGATGGACACCTGAGAGAATTTTCGTTACATATTAGCAGGGGATGTATATATATCGCCCGCGCTTACGTAACGAGTCGTTTCTCACCTAAACAATACCCCCGGGAATGGGGTTCCGAGCCAGTGTTGGGATTGCGTTCTTAAATGGGTCAGAGTTAGAGTCAACCTTCATCTCGAATAAATCATGGATCTATTCCAAGCATCCATCATCAAAACAGTAGACCTTCATACTTCCGGAGAGGTAAGAGCTCTATAGACCCAAATCCAAGTTATCCTTTCACTACCCTCGGGAGATATCATCAGCCCACAAGGATCATCATCTCTGGTTTCCCAGATCTCAAAGGAGAGACTTTACTCGACAAACGCCGATATGCTAGTGAGAATCCCGATGTTGATAGGGTTAGGAAATGGTTCGCATTTATAAGTACCTTTAGTACCTCTAATACCTTGACCTAACCTAGCACTTTCTCAATCTCACGTTGATACAGGCTGATGCTCGAACCAAGAGGTCATCAAGGAATGTACGGTGCCATCCTCGTCAAAGAAACAGAGCTGACGAGGACTGGTGAGGCTGATATCGGGGTTTTGTTTTGTCATAATGGTTAGTGTCATGATTGTGATAACCCCTCCATTCCGGAGTCTTCTTTCCCCTGCGTGCGCATTTCCATGTACATTCTTTGCTTTCCATTTCCATTTATTTCCTCATAATAATAATAATAATAATAAAAATGATTTCTCTCAGAGGGCTACTCCACGATGTGCGGCCATGCCACTATCGCTCTAGGCCGGTTCCTCATCGACACTCATGATTTGGATATCTTTCCCCAACGACCTTTTCTTCTTGAACAACTGACCAACGACAACGACAACGACAACGACAACGATAAGACACTCATACGAGTCACAACCCTCAGAATTCATGCTCCTTGTGGTGTTGTGACTGTTACTGTGCCTCTGCCTATTATCAGTACTACTCCCGGTGATTCCAATTCCAATTCCAATTCCACTTCCACTTCCGAGTCGAATATGACTAGGATCCCAAATGCCACTTACTTGAAGCCTATCCGGTTTAAATCCATCCAATGTTTCGTCCCATCCTCTCGAGGAGGAATCACAATCTCCGTTCCTCGAGAGATGGCATGGCCAAAGCTCAAACTCAAACTCCGAAATAATACCCATCCACAATTGCAGTATGATAATGATAATGATGATAATTTCAATACCAATATTGACAATACCAATACTAATATCAATATCAAAGTAGACATAGCATACGGAGGAGCTTTCTACGCTCTCGTATCCTCCTCCGAACTCGGCTTCGATCCTTCTTCTCTCAACCCTTCCAACTCACTTGGAGAACTCGAAGAGGCAGCAAGTATTCTTCGGGATTTGCTCAACCAATCTCCCGAAGCAAAGAAAGCTTTCACTCATCCCTCCGAACCAGACCTGGGGTTTTTATATGGAATTACGATTATCGATTCTGATTCCGATTCCGGATTTAAATCCGAGTTTGAACCACCCGAGTCTGGATCTGGGTCCAAGTCTACGCCCCCTAGTCCAAGTCAAAATCCCGTAGAAAACTCCAAAACCATCTCATGGATTTGCTTTTTCGGGACCGACTCCCACTCCCACTCCCACTCCCACTCGGGCTCGCAAATCGACAGATCACCCACCGGATCCTGCGTCAGCGCACATGTTCCTTTGTCTATCGAAAGGAACAAACTTCAAATGGGCGAATGGTGTACATATGAGTCGTTTCTCACTAAACGATACC